CCTCTTCGAGTCTCTTCTACAACAGTAAGGAAACTGTCTAGTAAAAACGCCAAAGCGTCTTTCAACTTCTGCTGCATTGACGACAACGGTTAAGAAACCGGTAATAACAAATCCGTTTAACCGGTGGTAAGGTGGTAAAAACAACGGAAAGAAAGGCAACCTGCTGACAGAAAAATATAGTTACAGTTTTCTTTCTACACTATTTACATTGTTCGGACTATCATCTTCATCTTTGTTGCCATATTTATCACAACGTTTCGGCCGTTGTACGCTCCGGCCTTCTTCAGGTGGTTGGAATGTCGAACTGAACCCTTTATTTCGCTCACTGAGATAGACTGTTCAAGTTCCACGTGCCATGTCTAAGTTCTCCACCGCCTTAACCAGGTATTGAACTCACACTCACACTCTTTGGGTCCCATCACTGGATCTAGCTTTGAGAACTTGGAGAAGGGAATTAACAGGAGATAACTGATAACTGACATCCATTAGACATGGCATGTGGAACTAGAACAGTCTATCCCAGTGAGTGAAATAAAGAGTTCAGTTCGACATTCCAACCACCTGAAGAAGGCCGGAGCGTACAACGAACGTTGTGATAGATATGGCAACAAAGATGAGGGTTATAGTCCGAACAATGTAAATAGTGTACATAATACCTCATCTCAGAAATATAGACAGATACTGAGTTTTTGTTTTTTTTTTGGAAAAAAAATAGAGAACTGAACAATTATGGGGAGAAACAAAACAGTAAAACTAAAGTTTCAATAAAAATCAATCTTAAGCAGACTTCTCAGTTCGTCTTCTGACGTAGCATTTCATTCATTAAGCCAAAGCCAATATCACATATGTGCGATGAATAAATTGTCGTGTAAATTACGCAAACATGAAAATAACACTGACATCTCATTTTAACAGATATACTTACCAAAATTACACAAAAATATCTTGAAATACTAAAGAGTAAATGGATTCAATAAAATCGCCATTGGTTTCATTCACGTCCTCTAGTCGACTTCAGAACCTCCTGCAACTCTTCTGGAAGGTCTCTTTGTTTAAATTGTTGAATGTTGCCATAATCCTTACCTTCAGTTCAGCTTTGGTGTTGCACTACACACCACACATAATAATCAAGGGAATTGCAGTGTGGGGCGTTAGGTGGCAAAATATAAGGTGTGATGTGGTCGCATAAATTGTCTGACATTCATGACTGGGTTCTCCTGCTTGAGTAACCTGGTGCAGAGTCCCGTTGCCAGATATAGGGTTTTCCAGCAGCTACCCTCTTGACTCAAGGTAGCACTACCTACTCAAGGCACTTGATGTAGATCTCCGTGTTGAGTGTGAGGCCCTCACCAAAAAAAAATCGGTAGTTCAGTTCTTATCAGAACAACCAGAGTGAGTTTTCCAAGCTGCTGTACCATCGTAATCACAATTAGACTCATCCAACTCTTTCTGAATCCTCTGCACTGTCCTCGGATTTTCGCCCAAACACTGTCAAATGTGCGTATTGGAGTTTTAGGCGCGAATTCCAAGCAGTACAGCATGCTGTTTCCAAGTTTCTTGCGGAGTGAATTACATTATGATGCTCTTTTTCTCACAGACGCTGTCCAACTGACCCTAATATACGGTGCAGTCGACAAAGTCAAAGACAAGCAACGCGCATGCGCGAAATTAAAAATATAAAATGGCTACAATTTACCCATCGCCCACTGTACATGTAGCTATTATATTAAAATATATGTATACATTTCACAGATATGGGTTAAATAACAGGGTAGACTGGGCTCTCTAGCCTTGAATAGCAGCCAGTCTAGGAGGAAAAGTCTGGATTTAAGACTATAGAGAAGGTAACGGGAAACATGCATGGAAATTCAGAGATAATAAAAAAAGAAAAAGTATCTGTGGAGAGTCATGATTCCCTATATCATGAAGGATTATAGCATTTAACAAAATATTCATGCATATATACTCACATGTGTACTAGGATTCATTTCATATCCTTATAGAAATAATATGAATATAAATCTGTAATTATCACTATATAATGTTCCATAAATGTATTTTACGGAAGAGCAGCGGGTTAAGTGCATTGACAAAGAAGAATCTGTTGAAAAATAAATATTTGTTGTGAAAATAAATGCCTTTTTTTCTAATTAGACTACTAACTTATCGTATATATGCAAATTATTATGCAAATTATATATGCAAATTATATCTATATCTATAATTCTCAAAATGTGTGTGTGTGTGTGTGTGTGTGTGTGTGTGTGTGTGTGTGTGTGTGTGTGTGTGTGTGTGTGTGTGTGTGTGTGTGTGTGTGTGTGTGTGTGATTGGATGTCGTTTATGCGTTTCCACAGTTTTCATCCGATTTCGATTAATTTTTTTTTTTTTTTTTTTTTGTTTGATAGATTTTCAGTCCAAATTGGCTGGAAAAAATTACAACCTTGAAGGTGAAAAATCGAAAAAAAAAAACTGATTTTTACACTTTGCGCAAAAATCAAAGGCAAAATTTAATGTCTGTAAAAAACAGCGTACAATCAATTTGGAGAGTTGAAATCTAACCCAAAAGATTATTAGATTTATAAAAAAAAAAAATTATATTATAAATAGAAATTATCGTATATTATTATTATGACGGCTCATGGAAGAGGTTACTTCCCTGCAAGATTGAGAACGCAAAAAACGGCCCTTTTCAGGACACTGCATTCAAATTGTTACCTCCCCCCCCCCCAATTTGTGGATGTGCCTCAGTTGAACCCAACTATTATTACTAATATTGATTTGTGGTTGGGATGACTTTAAACTTAAACTGCTTCAACTGAACGGCAAAAATTCCCAGTAATTAAACACCCGGTCGAAGACGGGTTATACTGCTAGTATGTATATATGTATATAGTATATATGCAAATTTGTTTATCGGGTGGGGGGGTTGAAGATAATTCATTTTCCTTTTCGTCAATCTTAAACCCAAATGTAACGAAGGAGCGTGTCGAAACTGTTATTATATATTCTGGTATATTTATATCTATATCTAAAGAGAGAAAAGAGCGGTGAGAAAGTGGGGGGCGGCGTCTCACGCGGGAGCACGCGCGTATACATATATGCGTGTGTTCACTATTTAATATTCAATCGCCCTGTCGGCTGGAGCTATAAAACATGCCGGCTGAGAGATGTTACCCCCCAACACACACACACACCACCACCACCACCACCACCACCTCCAATGAGGTCACCTGTTTGCCGACCCGGGTATATAATGTTCATGTGACGGCCAAGACTCCTCTTTGGTCATTATTTAGGCTAGACGGTCGTTCGGAGAGATCCGATCCGATCAATCGGCTGGTTACGTCATTCCATTACACGTATCTAATTAAGCGCGGCATTGTCTCACAAACTGATCACATAACCTTTTATTATTTTAAAAGTGCTAGACGTCGATGGCTGAGGGTCAATCGAGTGGAAAAATGATCAACAATATATTTTTATAGCAAAATGATAATCAATACAACACCAAAAAACCTATGAAATACATCCTTATAGTAAAGTTGCCAGCAATATATTTTTCTAAATAACTATTACCAATACATTTTATAATCTACAAACTCTAGGGTGTTCTAATAACTTGGACAGATTTTAAATGTGAATTAAGTTTAAGCGTCTAATAATTTTTTCTTTTTCTTTCAGATTTAACAACTTTGGCAATTTCAACCATGGAAAGATTAACAATCAAACAACGTGTTAAAATTATCGAAGTCTATTATGAAAATGGAAGTTCAAACAGAAATGCAATTCGCGCACATCGCGATATTTTTGGTCAACATAATCGACCAACCGAGGGTGCAATTGGAAAAATTGTTCGTAAATTCAAACAAACTGGGTTGGTGGCAGATATGAAAACACAACTGCGTGCTCGTTTACGCCATTCAGCTGAAAACATTGCTGCAGTGCACGAGAATGTGGCCGAAAATCCAGACCCCCTCTATTCGTCATCGTGCGCAGGAAGTGAACCGCTTCACAACAACGTTACATCGAATTTTGACAAAAGATTTGTCTCTATACGCTTACATAATTCAATTGAAACAAGAACTGAAACCTGCTGACCATTTGGAGTGCCGTACAGTTGGGTGCATTAGCAAAGACAAGCTGATGAAGATTTTTCGTACAAAATCCTCTTGGTGGATTCGTTAATAAGCAGAATTGTTGCATTTGGGCTGATGAAAATCCAAGGAAGATTTTTGAAAAGCCACTGCATCCACAAAAGGTCACTGTTTGGTGTTCATTTTTTGTCAGCGGAATTATTTATAAATTTGAACGTCCATTTTCGGAATAGGCTTCGATAAATTTAACACGTTGTTTGATTGTTAATCTTTCCATGGCTGAATTTGCCAAAGACTTAAGTTGTTAAATCTGAAAGACAAAGAAAAATATCATTAGACGCTTAAACTTAATTCACATTTAAAATCAGTCCAAATTATTCGAACACCCTAAACACTTTTTTTTCTAAAAAGAAAAAAATATGCCCTGAAAATATGAAATTACGTACATAATAATTTGATTTTGGCATTAAATAACTCATACAAGGTGATATGTTGCTAAACAAAATCAACCAATCAATCAATATTCAATCAAGTACTTCGATACACGCAATTATACGTTCACTTTCTTACGTTTTAGTACCCCGCTCCCATGTGGAGTCGGGGCCTTACATTAAACCGACCCTCGTATAGTGACAAATGAATAAAACACCTATGTGTTCCTTCATTTTCGTGCGTATGTGTAAGAAATTGTCAGTCTTCTGCATCAGATTGAAGGACACTCAACCAAAATAGCACGACGCAAGAGGAGGTTGGGAACAAACGAACAACAAGAAGAAAATTTGTTCAAGCTTCAAAATGCAAATCATAAATAAAAAAAAACAAACTCTAAAATAAAATAAATATATATAACGATTTAAAAACTGCGTTAAAAAAGGCGGGAAAAACAACGCCCATCGTTTGCGAAGTACGCGTCACCTCAAACGTCTGCCCGTTGGGAATAATTACTTCAGCTGCCTTTTATTTTTTCTCTTTCTATTGATTTCTCTCTCTCTCTCTCTCTCTCTTTCTTTCTTTCTTTCTTTCTTTCTCTCTCTCTCTCTCTCATTTTACTTCTTTATGTCTTTCACTTTTTTTTTTCGCGATCACATGTTCAAATCATCTTCTCACGTTTCTCCGCTTTTTAAAAGTTGAGTACCATTAGTTCGTTGGACGCAGATACATTAAAATTAAATCTTCAAAAGTCATTTCTTAATACTAATGTATTCATCTATATAGCTAACCAACTACATTATCTATCTATCTATCTATCTATCTATCTATCTATCTATCTATCTATCTATCTATCTATCTATCTATCTATCTATCTATCTATCTATCTATCTCAGCCTGTTCATATCTATCTCAATCTGTTTATATCTATCTATCGATTTATCTATCTATCTCAATCTGTTCATATCTATCTATCTATCTATCTATCTATCTATCTATCTATCTATCTATCTATCTCAATCTGTTCATATCTATCTCAATCTATCTATCTATCTATCTATCTATCTATCTATCTATCTATCTATCTATCTAGTCATTCTCGTATGTTCATAAATATCTACACCCCCACCACCACCGTTTGTTCATATTTACCCGTCTGTCTACATAAATATCTATATCTATTAATTTTTTTTTCTTTCTGTCAGTCTCCCCATTAACCGGGGTATAGTGGCTAGCGAACTAGTCTCCTATTTAAGTTAAACTATCTCTTTGGATAAAAGAAAAGAGAAGTCGAAGAAAATTTAATTTGGACCTTACACCCCTAGCCCTGTCTTGCCTATACTAATCTTAACCTCCTTTGGCACAAGGCCACGAAAATGGGTCATTTAGTGTAGATTGGTTTCGGTGAGATTAAAGTGTTATCCAGTGTTTTACAACAGTCGTCCTGGCTTTTTTTTTCGTCATTTACTAAGTTGAGTTTAGTCTATAAGGATCAATTTAACATCCCTCTTACCACAGACCGGTGGTTCCCAAGCGGTGCGGCGGAAGAGGATAGCAGGTGAGCCAGAATGATTGGAAGAAAAGATTTAGAAACAGTTTAAAAAAATTCATATGCCAAAAATAAATATGATTTCAAAATTTAAAATATTTTTATGGTTTACTTGTAATTGCATGCATGAGTCCCAGTATAAATAGTTATAAATAATTATTGACCGATTTTATCATTGTGATATTTTTGCATTATATCAAGTATTAAGAATATAGTAACTTGGGTCCACAAATTGGAGGAAAGTTATCAATGATAATGTTCTGACTTTGAATCAGCGGTTATCTCCCTTTAAACCATCTTTGTTTTTCTCTTATTTTTAAATGTACGTTTTATCGCATAAATTTGGTCGTTCAGTTCTTCAAATCCATGGCGTTCTTTACTAAAGGCCAAGTCACAGTGTAACTTTCGCTCAGAACTTCTGGCCTATCCCAAATCTCGTCTTCAATTCTTCAGTCCTCGATGCTATATCCTAGACTGTATCAACGAAGAATAATTTTCTTTTCTTTCTTTCTTTTTTTTTTTTTTTCATCTCGCTTTATTTTATGAGAGAAAGTAGTTGTAGCATCGTTTCTAGGAAGGAGTGAGATTGAATGAGGGATAAAGAGGACGAATACTAACCGGTTAGCCAAAATCTCATCATCATGTGTTTGGATTGTCACACTAAGAAGACTCGGTTCGGTGGGACATCTTAACACTTCTAATTTTTACAGTCGTCTCAATGTCTTTGCGCCTTTTTGGTCTTATATCAAAACTTAAATTAAATCACTGTTAGAATACCACACCCCCTGGGGGTTCAAAAGCTCCCTACTCAGTTCTGGTCGTCATAGTTCTGACCAGTAGTTTATCATTTTGGGACAGCCTATGCATTCTGCAACAGTGGAGAACCAAGTAAACATGAAACAGTATATCGGCACACTAATAAACAGACGAACTTTTTAACGACTATGTTATACCAATCGTCATGGATGTATATAGGACGGTTCTTTGGATGCGTCGCTACGAAAACATTGCTACTGTAGTGAATTATATAGTCGCCCTATTCTTGTGTCCTTGTGCCAGACTAATCTATGTATAATAAATATAAATAACGTTTATAATGTGACTTTATAGAAATATACATTTCTGTATCAATTCGGTAACGCTGAGATTCATTTTGCCAGAATAATGTTTTGTATCCCACAGGTAAAAATACGGCATAAAGTCTTTTTAATGAGGAATACTCACATAGAATGTAAAGGTTGCGTTGTAAGCATTCCAGAATTTAACCGGCGTCCTCAGCTGTAAAGTAGATATCAGGTCATCAGAAAATAATGAATCGTTCAGTCTCTGTACGAGAATCAAGTTACGACTCACTAATATAGATTTTGTTCTGAAGTCGAATAATCGGCGAAATATGACAAAGAAATACCTAAACCAAATTGTTTTAT